TCACATGGTGTGTAAACTTAAAGTGTCAATTTATAGATTTAAACAAACTTCCAGACAATGGTATCTTAAGTTTAACTATACCATTACGTCTTTTGGTTTTAATGAAAACACGGTTAATCAATGTATTACCAGAAGGTCAGTGGGAGTATGTTTATATTTTTGGTTCTATATATTGATGATATCCTTCAAGGGACGAAGGATCATATGCTCACATTTAGGAAATCTGATCTCCTTGAGGTGATTGGATATTCAGATTCAGATTTTGCTAGGTGCATTGATAGTCGCAAGTCAACGTTTGGCAATATATTTCTCCTCGCTGAAGGAGCAATATCATTGAAAAGTGTCAAACAGTCTGTCATAGTTGCATCTATTATGAAGGTTGAATTTGTAGCTTACTATAAGGCTACAACTCATGTGTTATGGTTGCGGAACTTTATTTCGGGACTTGGGGTTGTCGACACCATTACCAAGCCGCTGAAAATGTATAGTGATAATTCTGCAGCAATTTTCTCCTCCAATAATGACAAATATTCCAGTGGTGCAAAACACATGGAATTAAAGTAATTTGTCGTTACGGAGGAAGTTCAGAAACAAAGAGTGTGCATTGAACATATTATAACGGACATTATGATTGTCGATCCGTTAGTTAAAGGTTTACAACCAAAGACATTTAAAGGACATGTACATATAATGGGTCTTGGTTGTACTGATGATTGAATGATGATGTTATGGCACACTCTTGAGCTCATTGATGTTATGTTTCTGACTATTATTGAATTTCTTGTTCATTATGATTTCGTATACATTATGTTTAGAACAAGAAATGAATGTCTTTATGACAATTAAGTGGACATTATGATATTTATATATAATTATGAAACTTGATGTGTTGAACTATTAGTGTAGTAGTATATGGAAGGAAGTATGCGAATCGAGAGTGTACAACCGCCATAACTCTCACTATATGGTTTATCATGTCATAGTTTATTATGATGTATGGCATAATGAGATTTGTTTATGCGCAACTAATGTTATACCATTATATTATGGACTTTCGAACCAAGTGGGAGAATGTAAGAATATGTGGCCCGAAAGTATTGGGCTCACAATTAATTATCCTACTGGGCTAGTCTTTAATTAATGGTAAAACAGATCTAAGCCATTAATCTGGATATTTGATGGACGTACCAGATCTAAAGACACCCCTATATAAATTAGTTCTCTCTCCTTCTATTAGGGTACGCAGTATTTTTCCCATCACTTTTCTGCTACATTAAGAGAAGGTCAGGAGGGAGAAACTAATTTAGATCTAACACTTAATTCAACCTCGTGTGATCATCAAGATCAAGATCACAAATTATGTCGTCTTCCGCATCAAGTAAGTGTTTCGTATACACACAAATTATTTATTCAAGATCCTTAATGAAGATTACATATATTATTTAGGGCTATGTAAAATAATCGGATATCCTCTTATAAAGGTCGGATAATCCACTTTAAATTGTCGGATAATCCATATCTACCGGATATTGCCAATACCATATTCTCCTCCATATCCGCAACAATCGGATGCGGATTATCCATATCCTCATGGATATCTAAAACCTTAATCCATATCCTCGTAATGCGGATTCGGATCGGATCGGATGCGGAAATTATCCACCCCGCTTTCACCCCTACTTGTGCATGATGATATCGGGTGTTTTTATCCCCGTCGTGTTTTAGTCTAACGTTTAGGCCGATGACCTCCTTCTTTGCACCAAAACAAATAAAAAAAAATGACATTGTTGTATAATAGAATAGTATGACAAGTCAGCCTACTACTGTTTGGTAACTGATGATTAGAAGTCGTATTGTTTTCAAACTGTAAAATATAAGTTAAACTAAAATATAAATTTCATAATATAAAGTATGGGGAGATGTTACCGTCCCTTACGGAACTATTCTATCAGAATTTATAATCGTTAAATTATCATATAACTGTCTGGGATAATTGACTAACGATTACAGCTGCATAAAGTTTGTACTTTTATTAAGGAGGATAATTTTGTTATCGGCCACAAGTATGCTAAATGGCCCACGCATTATGGAACTTGAAAAGTAGTGGGCATGATCTAATAAAAGTATATGCATAAAATGACATAACGGCACGCGAATTAATGTTTTTCTTCTTTTTTTTTTTCTTTCTGATTTTTTTGGTTATCATATGGTAGTCAATTGTAGTAGTTAAAAAGTAATGTGAGAGGACACCCCATTTGATTATTGTTTTTGTTTGCATTATATACTAATAACCGTCCCCGCTCACCTGCTCACGGTGAGCAGTGCCCACTAATTTGTTTTATATGAAAAACGTATTATCAGAATACGTTTTTCAATTATACGTTTTTCAATTAAATTTAATTGAAAAACGTATTCTCAGAATACGTTGTTTTCATATAAAACAAACTAGTGGGCACTGTCCACCGTAGGCAGGGGAATATATTTAATACTCATAATCTCCCATAATGTTTTTTTCACAACATATAACCTCCGATTACCTTTCGCTACCAAAACACAAGTTGGCAGAGGCCTAAAATTTATGTTAAGCCAAGAGTGGAGTCTAATAAAGGGCCCAAATGTCCTAAATATAAAGATAGGTCCAAACAATTAAAGAGCCATGTCACTTGGGCCGGAATTTCAAATAAAATACAGAGAAAAAAGAACAAGACGAAAGCAAAAAAATAAAGAGGGAAAACCGGAAAAGGGCAAATAGACGATAGAACACAGAAGAAGACAAACAAGAAGAGATTCATCCATGGATCCAGAGGCAGCACGAACTGCGCGGGACTCACTCGATTTGGTGTTCCACATGTCGAACCTTCTCGATGCCGGCCTCGATCGCCACACGATTTCGATTCTCATGGCTCTCTGTGAAATGGGCGTCAACCCTGAATCTCTAGCCGCCGTGGTCAAGGAGCTGCGCCGTGAACCGCCGCATTCCCCCGATTCAGGGGCTCCGCCGTCTTAACGGGGTAATTCTTAAGCTATTGTGTTTTTTGCTTCATGGTATTTGCCTTTTTTTCTACTGTGCGTGCGCGAGTGTGTGTGTGTGTGTCTGTTTGGGCGGTGAAGTTAGCGGGATTTTATATATTCCAGAAAGCCCTAATTTGTGGCTTTTTCTACAATTGAATTGATTAGTTGCATTTGTTAATTATGCTTGAGATTCATACAAAGATGAAGGTAGAAGAAAGGTAGGATTTTTACTAGAGTATTGGAGTTTTTAAGGATGCCCACATTGATCCGTAGCTAAGCTATGGTTTGATTTCATTCTGGGAGTGATTTTGTTTCATTCGCGGAGGTTGGACCGATAATTCCTTTTCCAACAAAATCGACTTTAGAAGGTTAAAAATAAAACCAGACTATATAGCTGTTGGGACTATTGCTACGTGTAAGGATAGGTCAGCCTGTATTGCTGTCAGTTTCTCTTATCTTAGTCTATATTCCTGCTTTATACTGCTTTCAGTTATGGAGGTGAAGTTGGGGTCTGTTTTATTTGTGGTTGCTTTACACTGATTTTCTGGGGTTTGTTTGGTTGGTTTGGCCGGTTTGTCCGCATGCTTGCTTTTCAAAGTCCGTTGCATTGTTTTTGTTCTGGTTGTATTAGTTCCTGTTCTGTACTTCTGTTCATTTGGCTTTGTTTTTGTCTGGCTATGTATAGCCTGTGTCTTTTTCTATTTTTGTGGAGGGGTATCCTAGTGTTTATAAGTATCTCCCCTGAGTTTCCTTTGCTAAGTCTGCTGTAACACCATTGGAAACTTAGTCACCATTTGGTGAACGAGTTGTACATTATTCTTGAGTTATCTATATATTGCCATTATTAGTTTTAAAAAAAAAAAAAGCAGACAACACTGTTTTGTGTTCATGAGTGATAGTGTCCTTTCTCAGGTTCTATAATTTGTTCAAGTATTTTCCACTAGCTTGTTTATATTTTATTTCACGTGGAACAACTTGCTGGCCTAAAATGCATCATTCGTGGTTTACGCAAGTTGTTTGTGTAACCGCCATGATATGTTGCACCGAGGTTTTGAAGATGCAAAACTAATCACTTTAGTGGTCATCTCATTTTACTCTAGTTTGGTTCAGTTTAAATGTGTACCTTATGATTTTTTTTACACCTCTATTGGAAACCTTAGCGATTCTGCCTTCTGTGCAGTTTGGGACTGCTTTTCTTGGAAATACATTACATCTTTCTTCCTTTCATTATCCTCTAACTGATTTTTGTTGTTTGTATGGTTTTGCCTTTTCACTAATTTTTTTAGTAGATCTGTTCTTGATTGAGTTGTGTGACATATATTTCAGTTGATGTGTCGTCTTTATTGCTTGCATTGTCCTCTAATTAATTGATTTTGTGGGTTTGTATGGTTTTACCTTTTCAAACATTTTTGGTTTGTGGATCTGTTCTTCATCGAGTTTGTAAAAATGAGGCATTTGTTCGATAGGATAACCTTGTAAAAATGAGGCATTCGCTCGTTCATAAAATATTGTCTAAAAAATTAAAATGACCTAGACATAGGATTCTTGAAGCGCGTTTAGATTGATTGGCATCATACAGAAGGATGTATTTGGTTCTTTGTGAGCTAAAAAGTATGATGGTGATTGTTAGATACATCATATGTATAGCCATTCATTCTTGGTGGAAAAAAAAAGAAGAAAAAAAAAGGAAAAAAAGAAAGAAAGAGATGGCGTAGTTTTGAAGTTGCATTAAGAGATCTTACTTAAGCTGTAGTTGCTAAAGTAGGAAGGCAGTTTACCGGTTAGGCATGTCAACCGAGTGAAAATAGGTGGTCACTGCTTTACTACTGTTCATTATCTTGGAGAACGGAAAGCCGTGTACTAATCGATTTCCATATGTTACATTAGACTACGCTGTTTGTTTGTCATATTCAAGGTACTCTTCTTGTTTAGTGCAGGAAGTAAAACGATGGGAAAATGGGGTACTATGAAGAACTAAAAACCAGTCAGAAGCCAAAAATTTTCCCCTCGTTTGATTACCTGAGAGTTGATTTGTGACATCGTAACACTTAGTTTTACGTGCTTGCCGCTTTGTGGTTTTTGTCAGGTTTTTCAGCTTGTAAATGCTCTCTAAAAGCCTGAACTCTTTGTGTAGTTTCTTGTTCATGTTTGGACATGTGATCAACTCTTTTTGTACCATTTCATAGCTAGTACAAAAGATTTAACTCTTTTGAGCAATCTATGATAGTTTAATTTAGGAAAATGCTACAGTCCCGTTACGGAACCATTCCATCGGGATTTATAACCGTTAGATCATTATGTAATCGTCGTGGATAGTTGATCTTACAAACCTCGACGGAATGGTTCCATAACGGGACCGTAGAATCTCCCGTTTACTTTATTCAATTTACTTTTGATGCTAAACATTTATTGAAACCATTTTGATGGTTTAAATCAGCCCCCACACACTTTCGAAAAAAATATTATTAGTCAGACATGATAACACGCTTTAATTTCTGTTTTTATTCTTATTTTAAAGCTTAGTGGCCTGTCCTTGACTTTTGGCTATCATTCAATTCAATGCATGTGAAGCTGTTCTGAACTTTCATCACTTATCGTTTCAATTACACTAATTTTGATAAATGCTTAATCATCCTTAATTTTTCATTATCAAGTATGAATACATATTTTTAAATGATTTTTTTTTAAATTAAATGTTGTACACTACAAAATAAGACATAAAAAATAAATGTTATCTAATTATTACTAAAAAAAAATTGTGTGTGTATGTGTGTGTGTTTTTTTTTTTTTTTAATAAGTATACAATTTTGTGTTTTGGTAGAAAAGTAAGATTGTATTATATAGAGACATAGGCCTTGTTTGTTTCTTGGCGGTTCAACCATTTTTTGGCGTTTTTGATCCCATTAGCTTTTTTGAAAGGTTGACCGACGAAAATTTGATGTTTGGTAATCGGCTTTTCGTAATGGCGGTTTTGGTTTGAAACGCCAAATTAAAAACGCTGCTATTAGCAGCTTTTTGAGTTAGCGGATGGCTTTAAAATACAACACTTAAATTTGGTTTTTTTTTTTTTTTCCTCAAAGTTACTCCACTATGAGTTTCTTGTATTTAATACACTAATAATTATCTTGATTTTTGAGTGGCTGTTTTTTATAGCATTTTTTTGCGTTGTGCCGTCTTACTTTTTTTTTTATATCTTTATGTTGTTTTTATGATTTTAATTTTTGGTTAAAATGAATAAACGTGCTGTTATTTAATTTTATTATGAAGATATTTATAAAAACATGAAATCCTATTTTTATACTTGGATATTGCTTTATATGTGATCAAATTTTTATATTTTTTATGAATTAAAAAATATATTAAGGAACACCAATATAGAAAATAGAATTTTAAATAACTAGCAATAATCCGCTAATTTTACCAAACACATTTTACAAACAGCTAATACTTAACTTTGGGTCAAATCAGCTAATTGGATTCGCTAGTCAAAATAGCTACTCGAATTCGCTATCAGCTAACAACCAACCGCCAATTGCCAAACAAGGCCATAGACTTGCTGTAAAAGGCATGTGGTGTGGGGTAGTCGTTTATGCCTTCGACCTTTGACCAAATTCCCAACAAAATTTAGATGACGAAGAAAATAGTCATATACAGTACCAGAATCGGTTTAACTAATTATAAGTGTCAATAACTGAAATTTATTTAAATAAATATAATTTATATTTTAAAATATTTTAGGGTTATAAAGATTGTATTATTGTTTTTAATTAAAAATGACAATAGCCTTGTGTAAATCTTTTCTAATTCGTATCATATAACAGACTTGATAGATTAATTTATTTAAGAGATAAATAATAAATTCATTGTTTTTAGTTTAGGACTGATATATTATTTACTTTTTATATGAAAATATATATATATATATATATAATTAGTTTTGCATTTCATATATACAATATGACAATAGATGATTAGTTTGATATATCGTATTCCCCCTATATATTAATCCAGAACGCGCTGAGTCTACGTGGCTGTTTTTGGTGCTTCGGAATCCTATGTGGCAAAATTAAATGCTTTGTTATTAGCCTTTGGTAAATTTTAATTTAACTTCAAACCAAAAATAATTAGGTTCGGATTAGCATTAGGTTCGATTATTTATGGTCATGTTACATGTATTAATTCCATTTAAATATCATTTCTTATTATAACTATTGAATTGTATATATATTTTAAAAGTTAATAACTTCTGTATTTTTTATCAGTTTTACATATGTAATATATCAAATTAATCTTCTTTTGATGAACTTAGATTTAACATCCATATTGTATGTATAAAAAAAATAATTTATATTTATCTTTATAACAATAATAAAATTATTTTTAATATTAATTAGAAAAATAAAATTATTTATCAACTAAAAATAAAATTATTTATCAACTAATATATTTATATTTCAAGTAGTTATATGATATAAGTTATAAAAACTAATATAATATAACACATGTAAGTCATAAGTAACACATATCATACTAAAATATATAGTAATATATATTTTTTTTTTGTAAAAAAGTAAACTAAATTTAATATTGTTTTCTCATTAATTTTAAAATTTAAGAATATTTTTTTAACAAACACCCGTGTGATACACAGGTGTTGTACTAGTTAAAACATTCATTGATAACGAATAAGAAAGCTATTATGTATGATTGGAATATATTCATAGTTAAAATCAGTAATAGTTATATAATATTAAAAAGTGTGATAAATATGGAAAACATTTTAGATAGACGAGGATATCTATTATTATAGAAAGAGGCAACCTAAAAAACCCAGAATAGTAAATAAAAAATACACAGAAATCCCGCCTGAATATTTTCTATTAATAGTAATTTTTTTTCAAAAAATTTGCATTATCCCGCCTATTGTAGCTCGGTTATATTTTGAAATTTTTGAAAATCTATTTTGAAATAACAGATTATGTAAGCATATCAATC